TACACCCCGCCGACCGAGGCAAAAATGGGTATACTGTTCAGCCCGTACTGCGAATCAAACGCGTCAGTTCGGGGTCTCGTGGCGAGGGACCGATGTGTGCATGACTTACACTAACAGCCTGAGCGGCCGACTCGGTGCCTCGAAGCAGCCCGGCGATGCGTACGACCTCAGCATCGCTGTCGGCGAGGTTGCCGACGACGAAGTACCTACGCTGGCGTCAGCCCCGTCTCCAAGTCTGCGAGGCGTTCGCTTACAGATACAAATACTGGACCTGGAAGCCGATGACGAGGAACAGGAAGAGCCCGAAACCTCTGCCAAAGCCCGCGTCGACCCAGTCGTACGTCGGCTGCGTTCTCCGAAACTCAGTGACGAGGATCGTCGCCCAGAGCCACCACGCGCCCTGCAGGCCGAAGACGGTGAAGAAGGCCCAGCGGGCGCGCGTGTGCAGCCTGAGCTTCGCGTGATCGAGGAAGGCGCCCAGCAGATTGCCCGCGATCATGGCGACGATGCCGGAGACGAACGAGCCGAGGGCGCGCACGCGCACGCTGAACCAGAGGGACTGGTAGGTATATGTGACGGCCTCGGAATAGACGGCCTGCGCAATGAGGGGGACGATGAGCAAGAAGTTCTTGCTGAAAAAGAGCTTCGCCGTGTCCTTCAGCTCCGCGATGCTACCGTTCGTGATCTTCAGCCGGACGGGGACGCCGTCCTTCCGCTGCACTTGCTCCGGGTTGTTCAGCAAGAGACCCGCGAACGGCCCCAGAGCTTGCAGCGCGATGAACACGAGGTACACCGTGTACGAGACGCTGCCGGCCTCGTTTCTCTTCGAGTTGATTCCGAGGTTGATGGCGCCACCGAGAATCTGCCCGCCGACCCGGAAGCTGAGCCAAAGCCCCAAGAAGCGGCCCTGGTTGTACGGCTCAGGGTACGCCAACGCAATCGCTGCCTCCGACATCCAGAACACGCCTGCCGACAAGCCGCAGAGAGCGGCTCCGAAGAGGACGAACCATTCGGTGCCATACCTGTTGTTGGTGTACAGCCCGGCGGCGTATGGTGCGTATCCCATCGTGCCTACGATGAGCGTCCACTTGATCCCGATCGCTTTGACCACGATACTTGAGAGGGTGCAGGTGACGACCATAAGGCAGAACGTGAGCGCGTTACCCGTGTTGACCAGGTATGGTTTTTGCGCCCCTCCCGCTCCGAGAGAGTTCATAGCACCCCAGATGCCCGGAGCCAGCAGGTTGCAGACTCCGAGGATGACGGCGTTATAGATCGTCGAGCGGTACCATTTCGCTGCCATTCATTAATTCATTATGAGCGATCGCGAGATCTGCCATGACATGAATACGCTTACGCTTCACCACCACTTTGGCGTCTGCGCTGTCGACCTCGATGTCCGTGGCGTTCAGGTCCTCTTTGAAATCTGCCATCGCTGGGTCCGTGATCGAGGTGCTGTCTCGGTCAGTGCAGGGTTTTGCAAACCCGGTCAGGCTTAAAGGCAATCGTGCAAACCTTCCGCAAGCGCCGTAAAGAGCCACAGGCGCTCATCTCATATCGCGTCAGATTGCTTCTGTATGTCCTTCGCGGCTCAACGAACATGGCTATGATGATGGCGGGTCACATTTGCTTGGCGGGCTCATACTACAGGTACATTCTTTAGTCAGTCCATACACAGCGACCATCCGGGAGGGCTCTTACCTCAGATGTTCAGACGACCACGGATATTGAACCGTTTCCCAGCGGCATCTGCATTCTCACTACGAGGCCGCCGTTGATTATCTGTGGAACTCTGAAGTGACATCAAAGGGGAGCTTGTGAGAGTATTGTGAAAGTAGATAGACGCGCGCTGGCGTGACGTCGAAACAAATCGCAACCCAGGCCCAGCGCTTCCATCACTGAAGCTCGGGATTGTGTCAAGATGTCGATTCCACCCCACAGACCGGCCATGATAGGCAATTCTGTAGGCGGGTCGCCTGGACGCCCGAAAGGAACGCAGGTCAATGATGAATTGCGCACCTTCTTCAAACCTTGCTGTTGGTTTTTTTTGAACCAGCCTGAGGGCCGCTGTAAGATCGACACATGGAGTATGCTCCGCAGTAAGGCAGCAGAGACTGGGTAGGGTGCATTGTAACTATACTGCGTTATCGGACGCGAGGCCAATGACTCCGTTTTTGAGGAACCAATTAGCGATGACGTCCAGGCAACTCGGGCAAGACGGACCATGCGGAGCCGCACGCCCAGACAGGTAGATCACAACCAATTGCAAACATAATGGACCCGCTTCATGGGCAAGCCGAGCGCGAGGGCGAGCTCCCATACAGCGAACTGCAAGATCGACGGGGCCTAACGACCGTGTTAGCCGGAAAGAGAACTGATATTGAGTCGTCGCACCGAGTAATGATGGGTAGTCGGAGTCTTCCGCTTAGAGCTACGACTCCACATAGTGAATGAACCACCCAGCTGTTCTCTCTACCATATGGCCAATCTTTTGCGCGTATTCGTCACGCAGAGGACCCTGCCCTCCACGATAGCTAGCAGATTTGATTGACTTCTTCGTGGTGCATCCGCCAGAGGCTCCTGACTGCGTTCACGGGTGCGCCTTGCGTGTCCGATGAAAGCCGGCATGGGCTCAGTGTGCATCGTCAGTCGATCTCCACCTTCCTCCGCGTCTGGTTCTGAATCCAAGTTGATGCTGCTGCTCGTCAGAGGGGCATTCAAGCTCTGAAGTCAGCAAATTGAAGCACGGCATTGAGGGGAAGCGCGGTACGTATGGCAAACTGGCTGAATAAGTCAACGCTGGAATCGGAAAGATGCTGCGTAGTTTGAGGAAGAGCTCGTGCGTCTCGCACGGAGGGGCGGTGACGGCGGTCGGTCGAGCACCACATATGACCTAGGGAGGGTTAGACATGCCATGGACCGGTACGAGTGACTTACCCCAGCCCTCGATCCCTCACCAATAAATCCCGCGTCGTCCGTGAATGCTTTTGAGCAAGGCTAAGTGGGTTCCGGAGTTCAGAACGGGTAATTTGAAGATCATCATTTCCCTAGTACTCTGACATGGAGCTTCATTGAGCTTCAGAGCAAAAAAACCGCGGCCCAATTGTATCTTGGCCAATTGCGAGGGAATTGGCGTGAATGGCCACGAGGCAATGTGCAACAAGGAGCGGACGTGTTGGGAGAAGAGCAATGATGGGCCACCAAGCTTTGGCATTGGGAGAGCGTTCATTCCTCGGAAGAGATGTGTCGCTTTCGCTGCAAGTGCTCACCGCGTAAAGTTACGTTTCAAAGCCGTTTGAGGCGAAGCTCACCGCGTAGTTGACCGTCTCATCCAATATGGCCGTGCACAAGGACTCTGACGATCGGACGGAGCGAGGCTCGAGCATATGCGGCTAACATGCAGCGCATACAATTCAGTGATCAGACCTGAGTGGGAGCTGAGAGAAAGACGTCGGGCCACGGCATACAACCACTCCTTATGCTTTGGCCCTGGCAGTACTCGAGTAGATCAGGTCAAGAGTAGACCAAGAGCATCGGTCACTGACACTCCCCGATTCGGAGTCGCCCGACGCCCGTCGTGAAGAAGGATCACGTGCCATCGGGTGCGGCTTAGAGCTTAAAGCTTAAATTGCCCCATATCTGGTCGAATTCTCACCGGGGCATTCGTCTGTTGCAGGCCATTACAGGCGAGAAAGCTAACGAGCGAGATGGAATGTATTCGTACTTTGGATACAATGGTGTCTCTGGAAACGCGCTATCAAATACAAGACTGAAATACCTGGCCTAAGGCAGCTAGTGCACGATGACAACGTCTCAGCCTATCCGCTGCACGACTTCCGTGGTGAGCATGATAGATGATGTGCCAGTGCCAGACACAGGCGTGGTAGGCTGCTCTTGGTACATATACCTAAGGGAGTGGTATGAGAACTTGAGCACATAGCGCCGCATCGGCTAGGTTAAGGCGACACGTTACCGAGAATACATCCGCGGTGCTCTAGCACCTTCGAGCTGCATGTCGGACGTATAGTGTTCTCCTGTAGAGCGATACATGTCTAAACTGGGCTGATTGGAAGATCGGGCGTTTATCCTGGAGCCCTCGGTTTAGTACGTGGTTTCGTCGACAGTAGGCGCTTCCGGGACGTACACAGCAAGCGTCGATACGATGTACACTGCGGCAGAATCAGTCGATCCGTGAGATTGAGGCGCGACGCGCGATAAATCACATACCCCTCGTCCCCGGGAAGGCAAAAAGGGACCAATAAAAGCCGCCCGAACGGTACGACGCGAACTGAGATGCCCTTCGTTATCTCCTGGCTGATGCGCAAAAGCACGGAGCGTCCTCACCAAGATGGCTTGAAGGCTCTGCAGGACCCTACGATCTCGACGTCAACCGGTTCCGCGTGACTCTACATGCATCGCTACTCACGCAGTAAGGACGCCACGGTTGATGATATAGACAGTCAGCTTTCGGAGGATTGACGAGGAGGAGGAGGAGGAGGGTATTCCATTTAGTCACGACATCTAGACGCCTCGGCGTTTTCGATGTGTGACAGCGCTCACTAGGTACATGACTACCTCCAAACCCAACATACCCCTACTACCTAATCCTAAACTACCTAATCCGACTCCCACTATCGCATAATTACAATACTGTCCACCAGTTCAAACAAAAACACCCCGGCGTCGTGCGTTAAGCACAGCAGGATACATGGCTAAAACCTGGGAGGAAAAAATGAAAAAACCTCCAGGTGTCAGCGGTGGTTCTCCACCATACTGACATAACTCACCATGGTCCAGGTGGAACCACGTGGCAGCGCTACTGCCGTCCGCCATCATGCGGAAGGTCCAGGGGCCTCCAGGGGCATAGTAGGAGCCGGACGCGAGCAATCCGGGTATAGGCGCGTAGTGTCCTCGGTCGACGTTGCCGCCGACTTTGGAACACGGGCGTTGAGCAGGCGGCGGCGGTGATATAGTCGCACGCGGGGACCACAGTGGCCCGCTCACAATATCGCATAAGACTGGTACTGTTCCATTGTTGTGACCACCAGTAGGGGGACGGCGTCACAGCATCCAAAGACATCCGAGATGAATTGCGCGACAATGTGTTGTGTGCATTCATCCGCAATTACCGCCATAAGGAACCGATTCGGGGATGACATGGAGATCGCACGACCATGGGCCGTGAGCGCATTGTGCACTCGGCGCATGAAGTGCGCTCGCAGGGACCGAAGGATATCTGCTTGGCAGCACATTAAAACATGCGCCTCGTCCTCCACCATGTTCCGCCCTTGGCAGAAGCGACAAATTCGCCACTCCCGCGGGATCGGTGGGGACCGCCGGCGCAGTCCCTCAATTGCGAAAGGGTGATCGGAAGCAAGCAGGCGGCAGATCGCTTGTCGAAGCGCTCGGGAGTCCAACGAAAGGTACTTGCGTCGGGCAATGATACCGAGGTTGTGACTGCGGGCACTAAGCAGACGTAGACGTTCTGAGCCACGCACTTCGTTGCTCAGGTAGGAGCGTAGCGACTGCAAGACTTGTTGCGCACATTTCTTCACGGTGTCCGGTGTCAGGGCGTCTGCGATGGGGAACTTGACTGGAACTGGTAACTGTTGCAGGGCGTACTGGAGGTCACTAATCCATGAAGCCGAACCAGTCAAAGCCATACTGCGAGACTCGGCCAGCGCGGCCAAAGGTAGTTGCGGGCGCTGCGTTACCACATAGAGGAGGTAACGCAACGCCAGCGATAGCCGGCGGTATCGTATGTCCTACAGACGATGCTCAGCCGATCTTCATCGAGTTACCCAAAACTAACTCTATGCACTCACCGTTTGAACGCACTTCTCTCACGCCGCAGTATGAGTGACAGCGCGACGGTAATATAGATGTCGGCGATGGCGGCGAGCAGTGGCTGTACGAAGGATGCAGTCTGGGCGAGACAGAAGGTGTCAGTGCGTTTGACAGGATAAGAATTGCGGCAAGAAGAATCATACCTTGGCTTTCGTGCTCATGAAGACGTCGGGAAGCTCGGGGTGCTCAATGCTGCGGGATTTTGGTCAATGGGCGCGACGACATTCTTGTGCTGGTCACAAACATCAAGCGGGTATCCACTATGAGAGAAGTTAATGGCATAAGTCGCAATTCGTATCGGCGCACTCACGGATGCCGAACGCTGCATGCGCGAGTGATACGAGAGCATTCATCAGGCCCGATTGTCAGTGTACGTACGGAATCAAACAAGTACTGACCGTATGACAGCAGGGACAACACGGTCTACATGCGCTGTTCATTCAGTACGTAGGTGTAATGTACGAGACCGTGACTTACCACGACTGCCGCGAGAGGCAATCCGAACCAGCGCTCTCCGACGACTAAGTTGCGTATGAGCACACAGACCAGTGGACGTGCACATGGACGTACGCTTCCAGATAGTGAATATATAATACCTGGGGGTGTCTCAGCTCATGCACTCACGGCTGCATCTAAGCTCATGGAGGACTCACATCTGCACGATGACGACGATGGTAGCCTAAAGGCGCGACGGTGATTTTGAGAGGCAGACGCACGATATCATGAGCACTCACTGCAAGAAACCATTCGATCTATCGCTTGTCAGCTTTACGATTGAGCACTTCATCGCACACTACTCACAGGTCCAGCACTATTAACCCAGCAGAATCAGCTCCGACGCCTTGACCTTTAGGATCATTTCTACATACATCGGCATCACTGTGAGAGCTGATGGGTTCCCGTGCCCTCGGAGCAGGAACTCCCACATTGTCTGTCAGAGAAGTTGAGTGAAAGCCAAGTAAAGACGTACAATCCACGTACGTCAACATGTGTTACTGTCGTAGCGGTGTCGAGAGCCCTAACGACGTCCCAGGTTAGATGCGTGAACGCCACGTCCGTCAGAAATGAAACTACAACCATAACAGACTAATCTGCGCAGACCATGTTAGGCGAGCCTCTCAGTAGTAGTACACCATGGGACTTACGAAGAGCCTCATTTTTTCTCGGTCCTCCGGGTACTGCGAGAAATAATACAACACCTGAGCACACGTACAACCATATAAACTTCAAAAATCAATAGTCAGCTTGAGCCGTGGAATAGGTCGGACGGCGCACATTACAGCAAAGACCATGCCGATGAAGAAACACCCGACGGTGCTATCTAGGTGAAGGTTGGGTCCCGTCATGGCGGCACTGAGAGACGGTGCTCAGATCCTTGCGACGGACGTTTTATGCCGAAACCGCGCGAAGCGGATCGCCCAAGCATGGAACAAGGATCACGATTCCGGGGATTTGTTCATAAAGGACGATCGTTCTAACGCCTCGGATGAGTGTTCTGCATGTCGATCCAAGAAGGCGTTGAGTGGCAAACCTTCTCGAAAACATGTACACACTGCGGCGCCGAATCATTTCTGCGTCTGACTTCGCTGTGGGGCCTCGGTAGCAATACGCATGTGACAAGGTGTAGCGCGACACTGTTGCTCCGATCTTAGGGTACAACCCGACGATGACAGCAACCTCAGTCGAAAAGCGAACAGGTGTGGGTCGTAGTTATTTTGCACTGCAGCAAAGCAGTCCTAGTGGAAAATTGTGCGTTGAAGATATCAGCGCCAGCATCCTCTCGTCCATTTCTTGAACTTACGAGGCCCCTCCTGTCCCCAAACCTTTGAGCCGTCCCCGCTGGCATGCACGTCGGCGGCCGAGGCGCGAGATTGGAGAAGTTGGATTAGAAGCGTGGCGCTATGCGGGGAAGACTTGTCGCATCAGGCAATCCCGAATCCCGATCTTGGAACTTTGGGCGGGCGCCCGATGCCCGATCGCGTACGGAGGCGCTGTGCGATGCTGTTTACCCGAAGGCCGATGCACTCGGCCACAAACAACCTCCTCCTCGCACACAAAAACCACAGACAGTCAAGGTCGATGGGCTTGGGGAAGTCCGCACGTTAATCCAGAATCGTGCCGCAGGGTGTTGCAGAGAATCACTGTGAGATGATCGCGGAGCACGACTGGAAGTCCTGTGCAACTTCTTCATCGTTCAAGTTCAGATATAATTGTTAGTCCGGAAATGCATATGACCGGACGAAGTAGCACTGAAGAGGAAGAGGACATCTGCAACCGTGTACACCGACCTGTCAAACCATCATTGGATGTATTTCTGCGAGGGATCCGGAGCGAGTGTTTCATATGTCTGAGGGATAATTCGGAGGATGCGTTGACGGGCTCGAGGATTAACTCGGCGCGAATGAGTTTGATTTCTGCAAACGAGATGGAGAGATAGATACTGGGTCAGGCGATGTACATACACCTGAACTCGATAGCCCGTACCACCGGCAAGTCGAACAGGCGAACCTGATGCAATGGGGGACTCTGGAGGCATGGTGGTCACCATACGGATAAACAGAGCAAAAGGAGCACTTACCCCGTATGCGAATGTGCCGGCTGAACGGTGAAGTGCACTATAAAGGTTCTAGCGTGCTCAAGGTAATAGCGCATTCTCGGAAGTTGCAGTCACAGGTCAAACGTAGCGCTAATGGAGGAGTAGAGAATACGCACAAGGCATCTGCCCGTCGGACTCCAAGCCATCTCGGACGGAATAGAAGACATGATACGCCGCAGAGCGTGAGCAACGGTGTGTGTGTATGCACCACCAAAAGGCAAGACCCTTCATGAATGCACGACTCCTCACTTCAGCACACTGAGCCATCGTCGCCTCCCCTGAGGAGGATGCGGATCACCGGGGAACGCGCCCCTTGGTCCTGCATGCCATAGCCGAGGCGATACATTGAGCGAGACGTCCTGCAGGAAACGACGCATTTGTGCCCACCGCCTGTCTGTCAACGTCCTCCTCTGCCTTTGGGCCCGCATCCAACTACTGACGCTGCTCCCGGTATCATCGAAGGGGCAAAGGGGCTCTCAAGGCAGTAGGCTGGAGCGCGGCATAGAGGTGATGGGTGAAGTACAGCGGGCTACTTGGTGAGAGGAATAGGCTCAACGCCGAGATCTGGAAATGCGATGGCGGACTGTCGTCACTGTCGTGTGATAGGACGACCTTGATCTTGCTGGATATGTGAGTGAAACACGTCTATGAACCAGTACTGGCGGCTCACCGCAGACCCAGTCCCTCACGAGCAATTCCTGCATCACCCGTGCGACGAATAGACGACCCCCCACTGATCGTCCCATCCTGAGGCAGGAAGCGCGACACGTGAGTGGTTGACTGATTGGGAAGGAATGATACCGAATAAGGAAAGTATCGTACAGCAGCCATTTGAACACCCTTCTGGGCTCTTCTGGGCATCCCTTGAGTCCCCTTCCGGCTTCAGGCAGACCCTTGTCTCGGTACGCGGCTGGCCGCACGCGCGCGGGGCTATTTGCCAATCGCGACCTGGGCCCCCCAGTCGGTGCGGTACTCGTCGTTGCGGCGCTGGTCTCGTCGTCCTACTACTTGTGGGTCCGCGTCGCAGGCTTTTGGTTCGTCGCAAGCGCACCGATAGAGGCGGTAGTATCGTAGTAAGATCTTAAATATTGTAAGAGTCTGTCAATAAACGCGCTTACTAGTAGCGAGATAGAGAGACGAGCGAAAAGAAAAAAAGAAATCGCTATTGCGATGATGGCACCCGTAGGCGCCGGCGCCGATTTCGACGTGTGACGGTTTTCCCCTGCACACTGCCCGACGCTGCACAGACTTTGCATTGTACGTCTTCCCGAAGCGCCCCTCCTTCAGATCTTCACGAGCCAGCGCTGGTGTTCATAGAGTAGTCATCGGGGCTGTAAGGATTCTGTACACACAAATGACATCCCGCCTCGGCGATTCAAATATTCAAGAGGCACCACTAACCCTAATCTCGGGGTCCCCCTGCACCGCGCGCGCGTTCAAGTTCAAGTTGTCACTCACACAACACTCACACCGAGTATGTACTCGACCACGACATCGCATCGGCGGACAACAATCACTCGTGCCACTCAGGCTCTCGCATACTCTCACCAAGACATCCGAGTCGACACGCGGACTCGAGCAGCTGATGTAAGTTGCTGGCCTTCAAGTTGTAGACGCACCAAATACTGTTATAACTTATAGCTGTCGCTCAGGCTTGCCACAGCTAAGCTGCTTCTGCAGCGGGCAGGCGGGGCTTGAGCACGGCGCGGAAGCCTCAAGAATACTACATACAGCTTGTCCCCGTTTCACTGTCACTATTGCTCGTGCATACAACGGCTTCTATCCGATAATCCGCTTCAGCCAGCTCACAATGTCCCGCCCACAGAACAGTGAGTGAACTCCCAACCGACACGTCACAGACGAGTTGTGCCACAAACGCGGAAGCGCTCCCCGGAAAGGTACCCAGCCCGTAGCAAACTCACAAAGACCCATTCCTCGACGCGGTCCTTACCAGCCCAGGGACACTCGCCGTCTACAATTGATCCACCGCGGCTTAGCCAGGGCGCTGGATAGCGCACCTTCCCCGGCAACAAGTGGGCCCCATCGCAAGGAGTCACCGTGCGCGTGGGGGAGGTGTGTGCCAGACATGCGGTTTATTACTCGAACCTGGCTAACACAATCATGTGGATGTCGAACGATCTCCGGCGGCTTCCACACTCGCTCAACCCAGTGCGCGCTGAGCTTACGACGCACGGAGCAACTCTTCTCCTGCGGTTCCGCGCTGCAAACTACCCATCGCCCGTGTGCGGGCCCCTGCGGGGGCGGGCGGCGCACGGTGGCCAATCTCGCTCGAAAGATCAAGCCGTGCGCGCCAATGCGAACACTCTCGGAATGCTCACGCACGCTCATCTTCGAGGACGGTGTCTTCAATTATAGGCAAACTCGCATCCCGCGCATCTCCACAACTGCACGTCGCCCTCGCTCTCGCTCGCGCCCAACGGCCTCTCCTACTTCTCCACGCCGCAACTCCTCCTCCCCCGCAGTGAGAATACGTGGTGCCCTCTGTCGATGTTCTCGTTGGCTTCGGGCCGGGTGATCGCATCCAGAGGGCACCGACCTCTCTGCCTCGCAGTTCCCCCCTCTTGGGCGGAAGAAGATGGAGCGCAGAGTTGGCGGCCCTTCCGGACAGCAGCGAGCGGTGCGGACACCACTCCAAAGCAGGGGCGCTAGGATGCTTCACCTCTGATTGGCATTCTGTGCGACGCCGCACTACTGCTGCACAGAATAACGTTCAATTTCCCTTGAAGCGTCCCCGCTACCACGCCACGCTCAAGCGCCGCTTCCCATCCTGCCTGGTCAAGACCTGACGCGCGGTACCTCTTCTCGCCCCCCCAAGCCTTCGCGGATCGCAAGGACCACTGATGCGGATGCTCGTGGCAAATCTGGCCACTCGTGCGTTTCTCGCGCAGGTGCGCGCGCTTCTCACTGGCAGGTCTGCCCGACTCCCACTTCGTGTTCACCGCGACCCTGCGCGCGTGGAAACGAGCTTGATCGGGCTGCGGTGCACGGACTGGGCACGCCTGTGTATGCGCGCAACTGGGACCGGCGATGCTTGGGGTGTTTTGCGTGCCACGCCCTCGGACCGCTCTCAAACGGCGAGCGGCGAGAACGGTGCGTGCCGTCCAAGGCAATCTCCTGATTCTGGGCCTTTCTCCTCCACCAGGCTCGCCGCTTACCATTCCGTTTCACGGATTCAACTGTTCCCTCACACGCTATAACCATCGGAGCTACCTGACACAGCATGCAGGTGGCGTGTTTAGCGCGCATGAACCTCGTCCCAGTAAGTTATCTGCCCTGGCGAAATGCACCGCACCTTTCACGACCTCCCCAGGCTGCGTTCAGCCGCCAGGTGTCATGCTCACAGCCTACGAACGGAAGGCACCGGTGTTCAAGTTTGTGCGCACACCGCGGACAGCATCCACACGCACCTCGAGGTCGACCAGAGCCAGCCGGGCGCAGGCGGCAGGCGTGCAAGTGCGCCGGATGAACCTGACGTACACCGTCGGCGATATCTGCAACTCTAGCACCGCATGAGTGGCCCGCCTGTCCACGCGTGTGGGCACCCCGCTGAACCTTGAACTGGGTGTTTAGGTACCACATCACGTTCGCGTATGCCCGACTGGCTGGCCTATCTGACATACCCGCATATGTCTACGGCATGCGGTTATTGTGCGTCTGCGCTACATCACCTTCACCCTCTAAACATACGGAGACTGTCCTTCTAGTGTGGTCCCTGACCAACGTGCGTATCACGCATGGATGTACAGTTGGGCAAGCGGAACTTAAGAGGTCATTGAAGCATGTGCAAGACGGACATAACCACACCGACGACAGCATCGATGTCAAGCGGGGCGGTGGCGTGCTCCACGACCATGTCGATGCTCGAGCAGATGCGGTAGGGCATACGGAAGACCGCTGTTGGGCAAGTACGAGGGCCGGCATACAACTTGTCGTGCAAGGGAGCAGTGTCGTGCTGGACTCGCGACGACACAGCGCTGAGTTATCGCTCATCCCGGCGACCGAATGAACTGAAGCTACAGATCCTGCGCTGCACTCTGCGCTGCCAGTATTGGATTGGATGCCACATCGGCCTCGTGTTCGCTTCCTCTGTTCACAACCCTGCGCAGCTCGATCCCACGTCAGCTATGTGGTCCATCTTGATTATCACTAAACCTTCCGGCTGCAAACCACCTGGATCTCACGGCATCCACTGACAGAACTTAGCAAAGAACCGCTTGCGACATCGTGCGTCTGTGTTCGACGCTTCTATACGCACCAACGAGCTAGCGATACGTTGTATCGGTCCATATATATATACATCACTTGCCCTCGCTCTCCCTGCGCTCTCCCCCTCGTCCAACTTCGAGTTTTCCAGCGCATACCAAAGAGCCATTGAAAGTCCCCACGAGGTACGACTCCGCTTTCGCCAACCGTTATTTTGACTGATATCGTGGTTTCCTTACAGCGACGTGACCACCAACGGTCCCCAGCACCGCGCGAACCGGCGACCAAGACGGCGCATCTTGGCCTGTCTGGTAGCCAGTATCCATACTAGTGTCTGACATCAGGTGTGTTTTTGCACCGCGCTCGTTCTTGGAGAGCCGTGGTCTGAGGCAATGCTATTAATAGTGTGCTTCCCTCGTCGAGGATCTGCGTGATTGTCGCCACACACGTGCAGGAGATTTTCATCGGTCCGATAGCGCGGTCACGTCGCCGTAGCGCACATCCTACGTCAACGAAATGGATAGATCCGAGTCAATGTAAGTGTCACTGTCCAGACGCGGGTATCCTAGTTGACACATGTGGACTACAGTACAGCCACATCAGCGGCCTCTCGCTGTCCTTCGATGCCGCGGCTTCCTGTGGAGGTCTGTGAACGAATCATCGACGACATAGCTGCGGGATGGGATGCAGATTATATCCGTACAAAGGGCGAGCCACATCTGACCACTCTCACATCCTGCGCGCTCGTGTGCCAAGACTGGTACCATCTGACGTGGTACCATCTTCGTCAACGCCTCTATCTACGAGACCGAAAGGACGTCCTCTCACTCTCCAAGGCACTCCGCGCAAAACCTCGTCTCCGTCAGGCCATTCAACATGTCGTCATGTCGGGTGCTTCTCCCAGGGAGCGTCAACCGATCCGGCACCTGGGGACATTTGCCGCTATGCTCGCGGGCAAGGTTCCAAGGTTGTCGAGTATCACCATTGAAGATGCTGAGTGGACCATCGGCTGGGCCCGAGTAAAGGACATCGGCTACCTGGTTGCGTTCAGGTCCATTAACACTCTAAACATCCGCAACGTCACCTTGTCGAGCGTCGCCCTGCTGTCCCACCTCGTTTCAGCACTCCCGCGGCTTAGGGATATATGGTGCTACCGTGTTGACTGCTTGCAGAAACAGCACGTCTCCCCGGCCTCCCTCCCACTGAACTGTGCTAATCTGGAGCTTCTCGATGTGCGATGGGTTGCACCAGCAGTCGAAGACCTCTTTGTGCAGATGAGCCGGGCTTCTCGAATGCGCTTTCTCAATCTTGGGGTGGGCGGCGAGTTGGATTCATCCTCGGCAGCCAGCAGAAGCCAGACACTGCTGGATGCGAGTTCCATATCGGCAGAAGTGGTTGCGCTCCAATTTGATCACGATTCTCCTGTTCGTGATGATGCAATTGATGCTACAGTAGGAAAGTCTTCTCAGTCCTCTCTCGAGCCACTGCTTTGCTAATTGTTTCATGTCTACAGAGCGACATTACAACCTTTCACGCCACGACCACCTGCGGAGGTTGGAGATCTACATGTGCCACCCCTTTGACGAGTGGACCTGGATCCCGCACATCCTGTCTCGCATTGCCTCGAAACACTTTCAAGCTATGGCTATTATGTTATATCTTCCGATGGACCACATGGCCGAGGACCTGGACGAACTGCTGACGAAAATGGACCAGGATGATGTCCTGGCACGTTTGGACGGTATACTGCAGCAGCAGCGCTTCTCTGGTCCTGTTGCGTCGCGCGGCATCTGTTTAGGCGTTGATAATAAAGGACACAAATGGACGACTGGCAATGAGCTTAATCCGGCACTACGAAAACGGTACAGACGGCTCGATCAGCTCGTCAGGCGGAAGATGCCACACTCGCATGAGCGAGGTATATTGAGGTACGTAGTACTATGGAATTGGTCAAATCGCGAAGGAAAGCTGAATGTCCTATGAAGCACTGTGCATAACTTCTCAGAATTTGACAGCTGGAGGCAGCACATGGGAAAGATACATCTTCAGAGTATGCAAGCTGAACAGGATAATACCGTCGGAGAGGAGGTGCACACCCGAGCCAAAGGTCCTCAACGCAGCAAGGATTGACATCCTTGGGCCCCTGCATTCTGGCTCGTATTGTCGCATGGAGTTCGTGAGTATGGAACCATCATCATAAGGCCGCTCTGCTAATTTGTTGCACGGTCTCAACGTACAGAACGGCCCCGCGGCCGTAACGCGGGTCGATATGTTACTATTGTCGGAGAAAGAATTCGTGTCCGCTTATGCTTGTATCATACATGATCATTTCTTGGGAACTGAAGAATTGGACAGACTACGGTATGGCTGTGTGCTCAAGACAGACATTCGATTGATCTACATATCAAGTTTCCGTCGATACTGGGACCGTACTGAACTAAGCTTGAGCGCT